CTCCAGCCACCTATGATAACAGGCGCACTTGGAGGCTGATTGATTTTCCTTAGATGACGTCCTATAAAAAGATAGCTACTTAGGGTTTCAACCACAAGAACCGTAATTCGCAGTAATAAGAGTTTCACTATATTTTTATTCCAAAATGCTTAATATCCAGGTAAAATTCTAATAGTTGAGTTCACTAGTCCTCTTTTTTTTTTTTGGTACCGGGGATTGAACTCAGGACCTTGCGCTTTCGAGACAGGCTGTGGAACCAGTGAGCTAAATCTCCAGCCCCAAATTCTTTTTTTTTTTTCTCACTACTCCTCTTACAATGCTAATGTTATTTATCTCTTCTGGGTGTTCAACAACCAAAGTCTAGAGACCAAAACTGAAGAGGTATCTGGGCTAAGAAGGCAGCCAATATTTTGACCCTGGCCCTCCAAGGTCAACAATAGCAAAAAGATCCAGGTCATGAGGGAATCTTCTCCAAGGTCCTACATTTTTGGTGAGTCACCCAACCTCCTGAGCAGGGAGGTTGCTGAACAACAAAACAGTAAAGATACAATAAAAAGTTTGCCAAAGGAAGGTCACCTGGAGGAAGAAACCTCCCATGCTTTCACAGAAGGCAACATGGTCAAGCAAGGCTATGACATATCCTGATGCCTGACCCTGACAGAGGAGCTAAGAGGCTCTATGCATGGTTCCAAGACAGTGCCTGAGGAGACTTAATTGACCTTGTTAGTCAGCAAGAGGTTGATTTTATTTAATATAGGTCTCACCGTAACTTGGTTTTAAACACCCAGTAGAAAAGTATAACTAAAGACAATAGTTATTGGAGTTCAACAAAAGTTTTAAGTTTTTTAGTCAACAACGTTTAATAAAAAATTAGATTTTTAATCCTTTTACAGCCCCAATGGAGAGAAATTATGCTTATTATAGCCAGCTAAACCAGTCAAACACACTATAGATCCTCACAGTACATAGGGACAAGCCATTGCTGGGTGTGCTCGCTTTTCCTAAAAACACCCTCACATAAAACAAAAAGGGAGATAAGTTGGGAGCAATGCTACGTAATTTTAGGGAAAAATCATTTGGTTAGCCTAGTTTTCCTGCCTACAGCCCAGCTATGGAATTCCGAGACAGAATTCCATTTTGGCCTCCGGTCACAACTGAGAACTCAATGATCCGGTGATGCTGTGATTCTCCAGGACAAGAAACATCCTGGGAGCTGAAAACATCCTGGGAGGAGCAAACATCTACTCAGTTCCTCATTGTTCTTGGACTGTTACATCTTGTTTACCTGGATGTACTGAACTCTGTGCAAGCCATTTGTTAATTTGTTTCTCCCAATGTACTAAATAAAAGGTGTGGTAAGCCGGGTGCTTTCCTCTTTGCCGCTCAGAGCAGCACTGATCAGACCCAAAGCTCAGCTTCTTCTCAGTCTCATTTTTCTACCTTTCCTGTAATTTGCCCTGTGCTGCAGTGGCTCGCAGGAGACTAGGACTTACTGCAGAGGTTCTAGTAACGTCCCCTTTCCCTGTTCCCTACACAGTACCAAAAATAAAAATAAAAAATTCAGCTGGCTGTGCACACCTCTAGTCCAACTACACAGAAAGTTGAGGCAGGAGGATCCCTTGAGTCCAGGAGTTCCAGACCAGCCTGGACAACATAAGGAGACCCTCGTCAACAAAACAAAATACAAAGTTTTGAAAAATCCAGTGGGTATCAAAATCAAAATGTGCTCACACTACTAAGACAAACCCAGTACATTCTTCTGAAAATTGGATCATTGATTAGGGGTTGGACCATCAATAGGGGTTGGGGTGTAGCTCGCCCAATATGTGCAAGGCCCTGGGTTTCATCCTCAGCACCACAAAACACTTTTTCATCCAGCATTTATCCGGCCTGCCCTGTAGGAGGGGCATAACCACGGAGGAGGAGGAAAAGTTCTACCTCCAATTCCAGCTGATTGACTGGCTGGACAAATGGAGAGTGAATCTGGGTTGCAGAGCCACCAGAGGCAAAACCAGGGGACCCTGACAAAGACAGGTGGGCAGGAACCACGACCACGGCTTGATGATATCGGTTCATCCAAAGAGAAACCTGAGCCAGGTGTGGTGGCTCAGGCTGACAGTTCGAACTACTCAGGAGGCTGAGGCAGGAGGATCCAGGTTTGAGCTCAGCCTGGATGACTTAAGCAAGACCGTGTCTTGAAATAATGTGGGAAAGACTGGGTAGGTAGTGCAAAGGCCCTGGGTTCAATCCTCAGTACCACAAGAGGTAAAAACAAAGAAAAAAACCTGACAACATCTGCATTCCAAACAAAGAACAAAATGCACCCTGGCTCAAAATACAAACTAAAAAAGAGCTGACAAGCCCGGGGATTTAGCTCAGTGGTTTCGCCGCCTCCCTCGCAAGCGCAAGGACCTGAGTTCGATCCCCGGTGCAAAAAAAAAACTTAGAGTACAGTTGTGAGGAGCTTCAGGTAGGTTCACCACTTGTTAAGAGTCTGCCACAGTGATCTGTGTGTCTGTGCACCTGCACTTGAGGGTGTCTCAGGCACAGGGTCTCTTCCCTCCTAACACCAGCATGCAGAACAGGGCCTTCTCTTTTACACCACAGCACAAATGAAAATTTTTTTCTTTTTGAGGATCTTACCAAGTCACTAAGTTGCCCAGGCTGGGCTTGAACCTGCAATCCTCCTGCCTCCCCTTCCCAGAGTGCTGCAATTACAGGTGAGCACCACTATGTTTGGCTTCAAATGAGATTTGACACAAAAAACTTACCACAGATACAATATCATTGCTATTATCATGGGCCGGGGATTGAGGTCAGTGGTGCTGCCGCCTGCCTCGAAAGCGCAAGGTCCCGAGTTTGATCCCCGGTACCAAAAAAAAAAATTACACTATTATCATTATTGTTGTTGTTGGGGGTGGGAAAGGAAGGGAACCCAGGCCCCACATACGCTAGGCAGTGCTCTGAACTGCACCTCAGGCCTATGATGCTATTTTCTAATACACAGTCCATGATCTGCTTTCTCAATTGTACAAATGTTGTCTTCATGACAATTTGTTTTTCTGTCTCTCAATGATTTGGGTTTATTTTCTTCTCTCCTCCATTCTAGAACTGCACATCACACAGAGTCTGTGTGGGTGGGGGCATGGGGGGGTGTGTGCTACGATAGGGGTATGGGAATCTGGCAAAAACCCCAGGGTCATTTTGGGCCACGTGGGAATCAGGCACTCCGGCCCACACCTCTGTCTGAGAGGCGGCACAGGATATGAATGCTCGGGCTGTGTCCCTAGGGTGGTGGGGGTGGCTTGTGGGACCCAGATGCCAGGCCCTCCCTTGGCCCCGCTCTTCAGTTCCCTCCGGGGTGAGGCAGGGTGATAGCCCACGACTCTCTGGAGCACTGGGAAGAGGATCTTCAGAGAGGAGGAGCTTAAAAAATACCAGGGATTTGTGCCTTGCTCTGTGCTCAAGCAGTAGCTTGGTCAGCGGATTTTCCGGGGAACGGGGCACCAAACTCCCCACCTTGCTCCTGTGCAGCCCGTCTCCTCCCCACCTGCCAGCTCCAGAACAGCAGGGAGCTCAGTAAGGTTTGCCGAGGATTTCAAGGATAGAAGGAGCGGAAGGTAGGGGTTCACACAGACTTCCTCAGCATTGGAGAGCAGGGCTCCGCACACGAAAGCATGTCCACCGGAGCCTGCTGGGTCCCAGTGACAGCAAGGGGCCTGGCCAGGACTGTGTCCCGCTACACAGCCTCAACAACACCGTCCCCGGGCCGGGGATTTAGCTCAGTGGTTGCGCCGCCTGCCTCGCCAAGCGCAAGGACCCGAGTCCGATCCCGGTACAAAACAAAAACACCGTCCCTGCCCTCGGGTCCTCTGCAGTGTTGTCCTAGCTGGTCACTCACAATCCGTGCTCTTTGGCGCCACAAAGCTCCCTCTGCCCTGTCCTGAGCTGGCTGAGCTGGGGGTGCCTGTGTCTGACCACCTCCGAGCTGAGTCCTTCAGGGCACAAGGCTGAGTGCGGGGTGAAAGCACAGATATGAATCCAGCATAAAGTCGGTGCTTCCCGATGGTCACGGGGCTGGGCAGCCACCTGGGGACCCAGCTCGGGTTAAAAGAGGGGGAAAGGGCACTGTCAGGGTGTTGTCAGTCAGGAGGATGCTTCCGGGGTGAGCTGGGCGTAGGGAAACAGTTACTGACAGCTGACAGCCATTACCCCTGCTCACCGAGAAAGGCTGCCGGACACCGCGAGTCACTTCTCTTCTCCCTCTGCCAGCCACACCTGTTATGTATGGTTCAGGCACCGTCCTTGACCCCCGGCCTCACCTGCCTCCCTCCACACAGCACCCAGAGGGGCCCTTGACAGCACACAAGACCACCATCACCTCGTCCACCTGCTCAGAACCCTGCGGTGGGCTTCCCGCCTCCCTTCAGCCTGCTTATTAGCGCCCTGCCTCTTTCTCATCCTTACCATTGCCCAAGAGGCAAACTTCAAAACTGCTCTGGCCCCAGCTACTTGAGGCTGAGGCAGGAGGGTTGCAAGTTCGGGGCCAGTAGGAACAACTTAGCAAGATCTTGCCTCAAAATACATAAATAAATAAATGACTACAGACGTAGCTCAAGTAGCACGCCCCTGGGTCCAACTGCCAGTACCGCAAACTTAGGCAAAACAACAAAAACAAACCTCTCCGGCTTAAAGCAGTCCCTGCTCTTACATCCCATCACACTTTGCAAAGTATCACCTGTGCCTACAGCAGCTCGGTTCACTTATTTACCCGTTTGTCCCCTTTAGCTTCCTTGCTTCTACGGCCTATGGCGGAGCTCTACTGAATGAATAAAAAGCAGACTCCAAGTAGCCGGGGTATTTGGACGCCACGGGCTTCTGCTATTCTTTCCTTCTTCTAAACCAAGTCCCCGAGGATCGCGCCGCAGTCACCAGCCCTTCCCCGCGGTGCTCACTCCCTACTCCACGAGCGACCAGAATCCGTTGCTACCGATTCTCACCAGGTTGTGGCAGCCACGGGAGGAAAGGGTGGGGCTCGCAGCTGTCTTCCGCCGCTTTGGCTCCGGCCCCTTCCGGCCGCCGTAGGTGCGCAGGCGCAGTGGGGCCGCGACGCCTCCGCCTCCGTTAGCCAGGCAGATCGCTCCCGGAGTAACCAAGGATGACTGCAACTGCAGGTAAAGCTAAGAGAGCCACTAATGCGCACCAGCTCGGCGTCTCTTCTACCTTTTCCGGGCCATTCACCGTTGTCACTGCCCCTAGTGGGGAAGATTTTCGCCTTAGGGAGCGTCCCCAAGAAGCAGCGGACAGCGCGCCTGCGCAGGAGGGCGAAGCCGCGGCTTGCGCCTGCGCGACGCGGCGCTGCGGAGACCGTTGGCTCATTTACATGTCCCCGCCTCGCGCGGCCTCTGGTGAAAAGCCTCGAGCGGCAGCGGCGGGGGCGGCTCCGCAAGCAGTGGGCTCGGGGTGAGGTCTGTGCCTTGGCATTGTCGGTGGGGTTCCCCGGGGTGGGGGTGGGGGTGGGGCCCAGGCTCGGCCCTGGGGACCCAGACTTTGCGATGGCGCCGCGGGCCGGGCCCTCGGCCTTCGGCGTCGGCTCCGTCCAGGCCGAGGCGTCTCGGGGGCGGGATGCAGCCCGGCGCCCACGTTCTCGGTCTGAGGCCGGCGGAGCGGGGCGGGGCCGCGCCGCTCAGCCCTCGGACGTCGCGTCGGATCCGGGCTCATTCATTTGCGCGATCCGGGGGCAGCCGCGGCCCAGGGCGGTAACGGCGATCGCGCGCTGCCTGGGCCCTTCGGAACGGGCTCAGCCCCCACGGCAGCCCGATGCAGCTGGGTGGCTATGGATGGGGAAGCGGGGCACAGGAAGGTTAGGTTCCTTAGTTTGAGCCCCAAAGGCCACCTGATCCAGAGACCTTGCTCCGCAGAGAACAAGGGGCTCTTCGGGGAAAAAGCTGAAAGGGTGGAAAAGCGGGGTGGTGTTTGCAGATGGCCTTAAGGCAAACTTGCGTTTTGGAAGTCAGAGGTGTCACCCCGCAGGAGATGTTGGTGATGAGGGACACCACCACATAACTCCCAAATGTTGCTGCTTCTCGTTTTCCAACTCATTCTTCAGGGCTTTGTCCCCACTGCCACTGCCTCTGACCAGGTTCAGTTACAGGCTGTCTGACCTTGGGTGGGTCACGAAGCCAGAGTCTGCCTCCTCCTGCCGTGTATGATGTCGTCGATGACAGGGCCTCTCTTCAGGGGGATGCTGCAAGAAACAGAAAAGATCCAGTTGGGCCTGATAGCATACATTTGTCATGCCAGCACTGGGGAGGCTAAGGCAGGAGGATCGCTGTGAGTTCCAGGCCAGCCTGGGCTATATAGTGAGACCTTTACTTAAAAAAAAACAAAAAAAAAACGAAAGAGAGATCATAGGAGGACCTAACACATTGTCCCGAGTGAGCTTTGAGTGGCTCTTCCCGGTCTGCAGTGGGAGAACAGCCCCATCTTTCCTAACCACCATTCGCCAGGGTTCTCTTCCCACTTTTCCAACCCTTCATTCTGAGTTTTGTGTGTTGGCTCTGCTGTCCTCTAGCAGCCTCCAGAAACAGCACTGCTTTGTCACAGTCTGTGCTAACAGGTTCCCAGGAGATGACCTCAGGGAGGCCCATTGCTGTGAGCTGTGGTGGCAAACCTCCCCCACCCCCCAGCAGCTAACCTGCCTCTGAAGTGCCACCCTGGGCTCCAATTACTGCCTTGAGGATTTGGTGGGAGAGAGAAGTGGCCGTGTGAGTGCTCGAGGTTATTCTCAGCATGTCTTTTTCTCTCACTACAGGGCAAAGAAACATGGCAGCAAGGCGGATTGCACAGGAGACTTTGGATGCTGTACTGCAAGAAAAAGCAAAAAGATTTCACTCGGACTCTAGTGGTGAGACTATAGGTGAAACTCTTCCATTTAAAACACAGGGTAAGTGGAAGTGGATTCCAAAGGGAGTGGGTGCCTGGAGCTGGGGCCAGATTTCACCTCCTGGGCATATACGTGCTTACAGGGCTCCCTGTGAGCTCCATGTGCTGCTCATCCACCTGTGAGCCCCAGCAGTGTGCAGTACACAGGGCTACCATTCCCTGGAGCCATTCCCATAGAGCCAGGGTGGTACACCCCTGTGATCTGTCACTCAGCAGGGTCCTGGGCTTGAGGCCTGCTTGGGCAAAACCCTGTCTCAAAGGAAAAAAAGAGTATGGGGGGTGCTGAGTGTTGGACTCGGGACCTTGCTCACAGTCCCTTCAGCTTCTGCAGAAGCTTTCTTTTTTTTTGGTACCAGGGAACTAACTAGGGACCTTGCGCTTTCGAGGCAGCTGGTGGAACCACTGAGTTAAATCCCCGGCCCACTACAGAAGCTAGTTACTGCTGGGTCATTGTCACAAGTTCCTTCAGGGTCTCTGATTCAACTTCATTCCCCCAGATCTACTAGTAGCACTGCCTTCCCTAGGTCCCTGCCTTGCCTGGGCTCTTGGGGCTCTCTGTTGTGGGATTACTGTGTCTTTACCCAAGGGTAGATGCAGCCCTTCACCCGTGGTGTGTGTGAGAGGGCAGGCCGAGGGGACCTCCTGAGAACACCCCTCTGGTGAGTCTCGATAACTATCAAAAGGATCAGAACTGGTGCCCGCGTGGAGGCAGGATAAGGCGGAGGATCCGTTCAGTTTCAGGGCCCCCGGTGTCCTCCCCTGTCCCAGATGCTGCCCTGGCCTGTCACCGAGCAGGGAGGGTGCCTCCTGTTGGTGAGTCTCTGAGGGAGGATAGTAAATGCACCTCTGCCTTGGGGAAACTGAGGCTTGGAAATCGTATCTAAATTCTGAGGTTTCTGTAGTCCAGGGCTGGGGATGCAGCTGGGGGTGGGTAGAATGTGTGCTCAGCACGGAGTGCTGGCCTCTCTACAGTGAGTAGTACACAAAAAGAATTTAGGGAGTGGAGCAATTAGAAAGTACACTCAGTTTCCTCCTGTGCCCCACAGCTCCCTGTACCTGAGCTGTCTTTGGCATCCTGCACTTCATTTAGTGTTGCATTTGCATCACTGTGATGCCTGAGCATTTGTGTACACAGGTGTAGGTCTTGGTTCTTTTTTTAGAGACTTGACCTGCAGAACATAACGTTTTTGTTAATTTGTTTTGAGACTAGGTCTTGCAGTGTTTTGTTTGTTTTGTTTTTGAGACAGGGTGTCAACTCTGTAGCCCAGGTGAATTTACTGTAACCCTTCTGCTTTAGCCTCCCAGGGGCTGGAATTACAGGCTTGCACCACACACCTGGCTTTCCTATTTACAATATTATAGGCCCCCCTTTAACTCTACATAGCCCAGGCTGGTCTCAGACCCAAACTGCCAGTCCTCCTGCCTCAGCCTCCCAACAGCTGGGATTACAGATGTGACCCACCAGGCCTGACGATATCTTAGTTACCTCAAAAAAGCAAGAACAGGGGCAGGGATTTAGCTCAGTGGTTTCGCTGCTTGCTGCGCAAGCGCAAGGACCCAAGTTCAGTCCCCGGTACCAAAAAAAAAAAAAAAGCAACAACAACTGGTGGAGTGAGGGCTGGAACCCTAGCAGGATGCTGGCTGTGTCCAGAGCATCTGTCACGAAGCTGCTCTACCCACTCTGTATGTTGCTGCTCCACTCTGGGTGCCATTCTGTTTTTGTTTTGTTTTGTAAAAGTTTTTTTTTTTTGGTACCAGGGATTGAACTCGGGTCCTTGTGCTTGCTCAGCAGGCGGCAAAACCACTGAGCTAAATCACTAGCCCCTTGCTGCTGCACTCTGAACTTTGCCTCTTTCTCATAACCAGAGCATGGAAACACACCATGTGAAACCCAGCTGCCGCCCTTTCCTCTGATTCCCCCACCTTGTCACCGTGGTTCCTTCCTAGAACCCCCGAGGCATCCACTCTCCCCCAAACCTCTCGGACCTTGTGGACAGACTGGTTCCCAGGTCAGATGAGGGTGTCCAGGACGAGATCCCCTGCGGAGTCTGCCCTTCTGCCACGTTGCCTGTCATTTCCTCTGTTCCCTCCTGGCCATGGGGCCTCCATGGCCCTGGCACAGGGCTTCATCCTCCTGCCGCTCTGTCGGGATGGCTTCTTCCTTTCGCCCCACTGCCTGGCCCCTGGCAATGGGCTGCACTGCTGCCCTTCTAGACCAGCCTGGCCGCAGATGGTGTCCCCTACTTGAGGCCCTCCTGCTTGGCATCTTGTCAGCGCTTGCTGACCCCGAGCCATGTCTGTCTATTGTCGCCTCTTTCAGCTTTGAGGCCAGTGGAATTCTCCCCTCCTGAGCAACATTGGTGTTTTCTGTGGTGCTGGTGCCTGGGAGACACTCAGTAAGGACTCCGTAAACAAAGGAGCTTGGTTTTGCCCAAAGCCTTGGCTTCTTGTGGCCTCTCAGGTGGTTACTACCTCCTGGCACCTCTCTCTCTCCTTTTGTTTTTCTGAGGTTTTTTTACTAGCTTATAGGGCCTGACTGGAAACCTGGAATATGAGCAAGACATTCCGAGACCCGCCTAGCGTGCCCTCTCGTATGCCAGTCTGCTCTGTGCCTGGCTTCTTAGAGTTCCCTCTCTCGTGAGGAACCAGCTGCCGAAACGTTTCCCCTTCCTATACCAGGAGGACGGAAGTAGACCCCTCCAGGTCCACCGGGCCTCTTTTAGTATAGCTGGTGCGTCTGGTACCTTCCCGCCTGCCTGCCTCAGTTGGTTTGGGTCTCCAGAGTAAGTTGATTGGCCCCGCAGATCTGTAATTTCAGCCAGTTTGGAGTTCAGGTCCTCTGCTGTGACCTCACCAGCTGTGACAAGTGCAGTGGCAGCCATGGCTCCCACCTTTTGGTGGCACTGTGGGCAAGAATTCCTCCTGGGAGGCATTGAGAATGGGCAGCCTCGGTAAGGTGTTCAGTAGCAGTGAAAAGGTCCCAGGTCAGCCGGGTGTGTTGGTACACACCGTAATCCAGGACTCTGGGAGGCTGAGGCAGGAAGATGAAAAATTTGAGGCCAGGGCCTGGGATTTAGCTCAGTGGTGCTGCGCCTGCCTTGCGAGTGCAAGGTCCAGAGTTCGATATCTAGTACTACAAAAAAAAAAAAAAAAAAAAATGAGCCCACCCTAGGCATTAGTGACTTTTTGAGTCCCAGTATCAAAATAAAAAATCAAGGGGCCAGGGATTTAGCTCAGTGGTTTCGGAGCCTGCCTGGCAAGCACAAGTCCCAAGTTCGATTCCCGCTACCAAAAAAAATAAAATAAAAAAATAAAAAGGGCTAGAGATGTAGTACAAAGGCCCTTGGGTTCAATCCTCAGCACCACACATGTGCAGACAGGAACAAAGGCATCCAGGTTGTATGGGAACCAAGCACCCTTTCATCTATCTAAAGCAGGTCCCTGTACGGGGTGCAGAAAGGGATGAGACCACATGGGCTTTGGGGCTTTTGGCGCCAGCTGGAGAGCCTGGCACTCTAGGTTGAGTTGTGTTTAGGGCATGGTCCCTGGCTGGTGTGACTGGTGGGTGTCAGGGAGATGCAGGTCAGGCTCGCCCAGGCCTCCCTCTGGGATCTGTGGGGTGTGGTCCAGGCCTCCCGAAGGCCCCGACCTTCAACCCTACAACCTGCGTGCACTGTGCGTCCCAAGCCCCTGGGGGTGGCTTCTGACGCCTCACACGCTGTCGGTGTCACTGAGTAGCTGCTGAGCTGTGTCATGTAGGGAGCAGCAGTGGAGAACCGTACTACTCACCACTAAGTGAGTTTCTCCACCTGCGTGTGTTGGCCCCGTGGAGGTGCGGCCACAGAACCAGGGGCCAGCTGCATCCCAGCCAGTATCTGGAGTGACACCTTGCACACTTTGACATCGGCAAAGCTCTGACTTCAGAAAGCGCATCCACCCTGCTCTAACTGCCTGTGTGTTGCTTTCTGGGTCTTGTGTTTCAGATCTCTTGAGGACGGTCCCAAGGTCCAGAGCAGAGATGTTTGGCGACACTCACGGTGACAGCAGATTCACCCTCAGTGGATCCTCGGCTCACTCCCGTGATGCCAGCAGAGAAGGCCTGCGGGGTGACACCTTCCCAGGACCTTCCTTCCGGTCGAGTGCTGCTTCCATCAGTGATGACAGCTACTTTCGAAAAGAGGGCAGCAGCCGGGATCAGGAATTTGCCCACTCTGACTCCCAAGAGCAGGCTCTTGGCCACCGGAAGCTGGGACATTTCCATTCTCAGGACTGGAAAGTGGCTCTCCGTGGCTCTTGGGAGCAGGACATGGGCCATCCAGTTTCTCAAGAGTCCTCTTGGGCACAGGAGTTTGGTTTGGGTCCTTCCGCTGTGCTGGGGGACCTGGGCTCCTCCAGGCGGCTGGAAAAAGAGCATGTGGAGAAGGAGAGTCTGGAGTATGATGTGGACCGTCCCGGAGAGGCCGACGCCGTGCCCAGGTCCAGTGCGCAGGCCCAGGCCCGGGCCCGTGCTCTCAGCATGGTCCATGAAGGTGGCCTCCTGGGAAAGGGGGATACCCAGGGCCTGCTGATACCCAAGGGCAGTGTCGGGAAGCTTGTCACTCTGAGAAACGTGACCGAGAAAAAGGTGCCCGCTCTGAATCGTGTTACCCCCAAAACTCAGGGCACGAACCAGACCCAGAAAAGCAGCCCGAATCCCAGTGTGGCCCTGAGGACAAACCCCGGGCCAGAGGACCTCCAGCTCCCCACCCTGAAGATCCCTCTGGGGCTAGACCTGAAGAACATCCGGTTCCCCAGGAGGAAGATGAGCTTCGACATCATAGATAAGGCTGACGTCTTCTCCAGGTTCGGGGTCGAGATCATCAAGTGGGCCGGCTTCCACACTGTTAAAGATGACCTGAAGTTCTCCCAGCTGTTCCAGACTCTCTTTGAACTCGAAACCGAAACCTGTGCTAAGATGCTCGCCTCCTTTAAGTGCTCCTTAAAACCAGAGCACAGAGATTTTTGCTTTTTTACTATCAAATTTTTAAAGCACTCTGCTTTGAAAACCCCTCGAGTTGATAATGAGTTTTTAAACATGCTTTTAGACAAAGGTGCTGTGAAGACCAAAAACTGCTTCTTTGAAGTCATCAAGCCCTTCGACAAGTACATCATGCGGCTGCAGGATCGCCTGCTGAAGAGTGTCACACCCCTGCTCATGGCCTGTAACGCCTACGAGCTCAGTGTCAAGCTTAAGACCCTCACCAGCCCCCTGGACCTGGCGCTGGCCCTTGAGACCACCAACTCCCTCTGCCGGAAGTCGCTGGCCCTCTTGGGACAGACCTTTGCCTTGGCGTCCTCTTTCCGGCAAGAGAAAATCCTAGAAGCCATCGGCCTCCAGGACATAGCCCCCTCCCCGGCCTCCTTTCCCAACTTCGAGGACTCCACTCTGTTCGGGAGAGAGTACATCGACCACCTGAAGGCCTGGCTGCTGGCTAGCGGGTGTCCCCTGCGGGTGAAGCGGCCAGGGCCGCAGCCATCACAAGAGGAGGACAAGACGGCCCTCCCTTCCAAACCTGAGATTCCCACCAGGGCCCCAAGCGATGGTGAGGCACACCCTGGGAGTCCCTGTGCGCCTGGTGGCACTCTTTTCCCGTGGGAGATGTCCCCCATAGATGTTCTTCAGTCACCTGTAGCGGATCGTGGTTTGCCACTGGCCAGGGCCCTGCCTGCCCTTCCTCCTACGAACCTGTGCGAGGGCTCTTCGATCCCCAACAGAAGCCCCTGGGTGTTTCTGAGTCACAGACCCCTTTGGAGGCAGGCGGCGGTTTCCCTTTTTTTTGGTACCAGGGATCAGGACCTTCTGCTTTTCGAGGCAGGTGGCAGAACCACTGAGCTAAATCCTCAGCCAGACCCCTTTGGAAATGTCATGGGAAGCCATGGCCTTCGCCAGGGAAACGCACGTGTGTCTGGGCACGGTTTTACCTTGCTTTTCATGAGGCGATCAAGGTTAAGATCTGCAGTTGCAGTGTCCTCCCCACACCCCGGTAGTGGTAGCAGGAAAACCACCTGACACAATTTCTGAGGTGGCCCCAGGCTCCTAAGGGAAGGAGACCTGAAACCCCAGTCATGCCTGTCCCAGGCTCCAGGGGAGGCAGGTTAGGCCCAGCCTGCCTGGGAGGCCGCAGTGGGTGCACGAGGGCTCCCAGGGAGCCTGGGGCCTAGCAGGTGGTAGAGGCACCTGAAACCAGTAGAGAGCTGAGTGCGGGTGGTGACAGCGCCTGGGGCGTCACCCAGCCACCCCCAGGTCGTGCGCACACACCACAGCCACGTCTCTCTTGCTCCTGTGCCTCCATAGCTCATTTGTCCCAGGTTTTTCCCGTTCCCTGCCACCCCTCCTCTTGGGCCCCTGGCCAGCTCAGGGCTTACACGGTCCCCCACCCCGCCTACCCCCTAGCAATGGAGAGCAGTGTGTGGCAGTGCTGTCACAGTGCCCAGGTGTCCCGCGGGTGCAGGGTGCCAGGCTCTGCAGTGCTGGCTGCATTGGGATGCCCATCCCTCGTGAGTAGCCCTCACCTGTCCCTTGGTAGTACCCGTGCTGCCTCTGCATATCTGGGCCTTGCTGTCCGTGCTGCTGGGTAGCCAGTGCCACTGCTGCAGCCGACCCTGCCGGAAGTTCCGGGGTGCTGCCTGCAGTGCATGTACCAGTTAGTGCTTTTACTCTTATCTTTGTGACTCCCCCTTCCAAGGGACTGCCACCCCTCCTCCTGAGAGTGGTCGCCTTCCAGCCCTCACTGTGTCAGCCCAGGTGGAGGTGACCACCTTTGCCATGGTCCCCACATTTCACCGTTTTCTGACTGAACTTCAGGTTCTTTTGTAAAATCGTAGAAAACAAGCAGCTCTGTAGAATGAGGCAACAAAGAAGAAAATGCAGTTTCATAGAGGAAACGGTTTGCAGCAGCCTGGCAGTTTCAGGGTGACTTACCCTGTGCAGAGAGCGCGCCCGTGTCTACACTCAGCCCGGGGCCGGGCACCTCCCAGGAGTCTCGCCGAGCACATGAGGCCCTTGCCGGCAAACAAAACTAAATGGACTTCGCGCCAGAGATGTAGCTCAGTGGCAACACATCTGCCTCACAAGCGCAAGGTCCTCAGTTCGATCCCCGGTACCAAAAACAAACAAATTAATCAGGGCTTTTTCTTCATAAATTTATATTTTTTTCTGATTATAAGACATTTGCTAATTTTTTAAAGATTAAAGCACAAATAAAATTAAGTCCTGATACATGTACCATTTATATAAAATCTGTTCTAGTGTATTTCTAATTTTTTTTTTTTCTTTTTTTTTTTTTTTAGCTTTTAGTTTGACTTTTTAATTTGTTCATCGTTTCGAGACAGAGTCTCGATGGGTACTCCATGCTGGCCTTGAACTCACTATGTAGCCCAGGCTGGCCTCAAACTCACGGCAATCTTCCTGCCTCAGCCTCCCAAGTGCTGGGATTACGGACATTCACCTTCACGCCCAGCTCTGTCTCTATTTCTGTATCTTTTCTTCCCACCTTGATATTGAGAATAATAAACTAAACGCTTATTTATTTTGCAGGGCTGGGGAAGGAGCCCAGGGCCTCATACGTGCTAGGCAAGCACTCTCCACATGGCCCTAGATACTTTTTTTTTCCTTTGGTGCTGGGGATCAAACTCGGGTCCTTGCCGCTTTCGGAGCAGGTGGCAGAACCACTGAGCTAAACCCCCGGCCCAGCCCTAGATACTGTTGAGGAGCGCTGTTCATCTAGACCTCTCCGTTTCTGCTGCAGTAGCGTGGGTGTTCTCGTCACTGAGCAAGCGTGAGGATGTTGGTTGCTGGTTCCGCGTGGGTTCTGGGCAAGGCCACTGACGCACTGTCTGCATGTGTCTCAGAAAGCCACTCTGTTCCAACAGTCCTGCAGCGAGCGGACTACAGGATGGTGGACACCATCGACCAGCTCGTCACACGCGTCCTCGAAGGCACCCTGTCTCCCCGGGAGAGAGCCGCTCTCAAGGAGGACCCTGCGTACTGGTAGGTCTGTGGCATGACCGCGGAGCCCTCCATGCGCGTTCCCTGCGGCGGAACCAGGGGAGCTGTCTGTTTTGAGCAGCAATGTCATCTGGTGGGGAGAGCACCTGGCAGATGACATTGACCTGGACTCCAGGTCCCAGCTCTGCCGCAGCCCGGCCGCAGGGCTTTGTCTCTTCCAGGCTAAGCTCAGAGTCCTATGTGCGGTCGTTGGGATGCAGGAGCTGTGCGTGCCGAAGCCCCCAGCAGGACGAGGGTGCGCAGTGGACACTGAGACGCTCCACACCCCTCTCCTTTTCCCTCACTGCCCCCTTTTGGCCACAGAACAATGCTTTACCATTTCCATTGCATGGTTCTCACTTATTTGAGAAAATAAGGAGGAACAGAAAGTAGGGGTAGACCACCTAGTGCCTGACACCCTGACGTTTTCATGTACCGGTGGTTCTTGGCTTTCAGTGGGTTTATGTTCCAGTAAACTCAGTGGAAGCTGAAAATACCACAATGTAAAAGATGCATGTAGGATCACTTCTCGGTCTTTTGGCTAAGATCAAGTGTAAAGATGCATTTAGGCCAGGTGTGGTGGTGCACACCTGTAATCTCAGCTACTTGGGAGGCTGAGGCAGAAGGATTACAAACAGTTAACTTATTGAGACCCCCATATCCAAAAAAAAAGGGCTAGGGATGTAGTTGGATGTGAAAGCTCTGGTTCAGTCTCCGGTACTGGGGGGAAACAGCCGAGATGCAGATGCAGGGTCCCTGATCTCAGTCAGGTCATGTGGAAGGAAGGGAGCAGCTGCCGGGGCACAGGTGGGAGCAGAGTCTGAGCACTCTGGGTGGGAGGTGTCAAGACGGGGAAGGCCAGGTGATTTCCGGTGACTGACGAGCTGAGTGGAGTGCAGCCCAGCAGGCACATGGTCCCCGACAGCCAGGAGACCCAACAGAACCCACAGCTGGCATGCGACACGCCACGTGTGTGAGCCGGGGCAACGGGGTGGGGCCAAAGTCCGGAATCAGCATTGAACAAACGAGAACGAATTGGAGGTGTGATGTGTAAGGAAACCGACATCGAGAAGGAGTGGTGTCCCCTCGGTGAGCAGAGGACACGCCCGAAAGAGACTCGGTCTCAGCAGAACGGCCAGAATGAGCAGCCGCCAGGTGAGAGGGTGTTGCGTCCTGGAAACCGGAACTGATAGTCATGAAAAAGAACCCATCACAGGTCTTGTATTCGAAAACCCAGGCCTTGGACTTAAAATCTCAGCACTGGCTGGTGGAGTAGTCACTACTGAGAGGGCCAAGGGACTGACCCTGGAGAGCCCGTCGCCTTGAGCCCCTGCAGACAGCTTTGTCCAGAGACACGAGGAAAGAGTCATGTAGGAAGTGACAAAGACGAGTGGGCTCAGCTTCCGGGGATGTACGTAATCGGTGCGTCTGTGGTGCGTGGGTGTCTTAGCGAAAGCATCCGTGGGACTTGACACAAAGCAAAGCCTTTCTGCCGGATTGCACCCAGCCAGTCCCTGAGCCCTGTGCTGCCCTCGCCTACCTGGTTCTAGCTGTTCCGTTGATGCCCTGTAAAGGGACATGGAACTGTGCGCGCTTCCCATCAGTGCCCAAGCCTCCTTTCTTGCTGGTGCCTGCCCATCAGCAGCAGGGGACTGGTGTCCACCCCCGCCCCGCCCCTCATGTGACACCTCACACCTCACCTGCACTCTGCCATCTCCAGCTGCCCTGGAACACCCGATACGGTGTGCAGGCTGTGCACGGAGCTGTTATACCTGGAGAGAGGTTCGCACGCATCCAGCAGACGTAGGTCCTCAGTTGAACATTGTTAATCTGGGATGGGATGAATCTAAGGTACAGAAGTAGTATGTGTTCCATAGACGCTATGCTTCAGACTAGGCTTGGAGAGTAGACAGCATCTTGCTGTGTTGCCCAAGCTGGCCTTGAACTCCTGGCTCTAGCAACCGTTCTGTGTCAGCCTCCCAAGTAGCTGGGGGCACAGGGCCACACTCTTGTGCCCGGCTTGAAAATGTCTTTCTGTTTGCATTAGTTGGGTTTCTCTAGCAGAGCATAACCAGCAGGAAATCTGTATGTGATTCTGCAAGGGATTTATGAGGTAGCTCTCAGCACCAGAGGCAGGAGCGCTGGCACTGGCCTATGGGCTGGGGAGCTGGGCCCCAGGAGCTGCTCCACCACAGAACAGAGCGACCGGGAGCTTGCTGGGGAGTCGCCAGGGTGACGCTGCCAGCAGCAGACGCGCTTCCTCCTCCTCTCCCTTTCGCTCCACCCAGCCCATGGTTTGGCAGCACTGCATCTGGGATGAGTCTCGCCCCTCAACCTGCTGGCCTCGCTGGCATCTGTGCACACACCCAGAACTCACTAGTGCCCAGCAAGTGCGTAGCTCACCGAGCTGCCCAGACTGGCCTCGGATCTGTGAGCCTCCCGCCTCTACCTCCTGAGTAGCTGGAACATAGGCGTGTGCCATGGTGCCAGCTTCCCACTAAGTCTGGGCACGGGGAATCAGACTGAAGTGAGAAAGACTTAGAAGGAAGCGCCTAGGAGGAGCGAGCTGCACTGAGTGCAGCCAGGACAGCTGAAAGGGCGACTTCAGGCACATTTCTTAGAAAGGACCACAGAGGCGGAAAGTGTTCCAGAAGGGGGGGGGGGCGGCAGGGGTTCCGCTCCCGCCTCTCAAACGCAAGGTCCCGAGTTTGATCCCCGGTACCAAAAAAAAAAAAAGAACATTCAGCCCCCCAAGCGTGAATGGAAGTGGTAACAAAAGTCCACAGACCCCAGAAGCAGAGTGGTGGTGGGGATGAGGTGGCCAGGGAATGGGAAACAGTGTCCGGGCGTGGGCTTGGGTGCGTGACCCCTGTCCTCCCTCCCCATCCCATGCTGGGGACGAGCCCGGGGCTTCATGCCTGCTGTGGTGCCGAGCGCGCGCGCGTGTGTGCGTGCGTGCGTGCGTGCGTGTGTGTTAGGCAAACGCTCACCACAGCCTCAGCCCAGCCTCCTCCCTCTCCTGTCCACCCTGTCCCTGTCACTGTGACTAGTCCTGTGGTGCAACAGCTGGCGCCCACACCCTGTTAGTCCTTGGCAGGTCTCACCAGCCCTGCCCCAAATGCTGACCCTCGCGGGACCTTTGCAGGGCATCCCGTGTGCCTGCCATGGTGCTGATAGCGTTGAGCCCCTGGTGGCCCCACGCCCCCATGTCCCCAGGACTGGGCTGTGTCATGAGGACCCATGAGCTGAGTCCCTCATGGCTGCCGAGGATGGGAAGGGAGAAGGAGCCCAGCCGATGGTCCTGCGGTCACTCTGGGCAGGGTGGGCATCCTGGGCCTTGCTCTAGGTCCTCGAGACGCACACGGAGCCTGGACAGCAGAAGGGCTGCCACTTGGGGAGGGTTCTCAGAGCTGGGAGCAGTGCCTCATGCCTGGAATCCCAGCCCTCTGGGAGGCTGAGGCGGGAGGACGGCAAGCTCAGCCCAACTTAAGGAGACCCTGTCTCATACTAAAAAGAGCTGGACTTAAGGCTCAGTGCTGGGGCTTGCCTGGCCCAGCAGGATGCATCTTCCATCCCCAGCAGCTCCGGGTGGGGGCTGGTGCAGTGCTGTCCCACACATGCCCTCCGCCTGCCTTGCCCCTAGGTTCCTGTCCGACGAGAACAGCCTGGAATACAAATACTACAAGCTGAAGCTGGCTGAGGCCCAGCGAGGGAGCCAGACCCCAGCGAGCATGGACCGGAAGCCGGCCCCGTCCGAGTGCGCCGTGAGGGCCATGCTGTACGCGCGAGCCGTGCAGAGTCTCAAGAGGAGGCTGCTCCCAGGCCAGCGGCGGCGCCTGCTCCGCACCCACGGCCTCCGCGGCTGGAAGGCCAGGCGTGCAACCACGGGGACCCAGACACTCCTGTCCTCGGGCACCAGGCTGAAGCCCCTTGGGCGACAGCCCAAGCTGCCCCCACCAGAGGGGAACTGCGGTGCCAAGGACTGCCCACCAGACCCCACCAGAGCCCCTCCTCGGGACACCAGCCCGGCCCCCAAGTCCTCCAAGCCTGGGGGAGCTGCTGCCACGGCTGCCAAAGCCCCAGGGACCTCTGCCCCCTGCGACCCTTCAGACCAGGGTGAGTGCATGTGCCTCCCATCTCCGGGGCCTGTGGGACTGGGCAGTGTGGAGAGGTGGCAGGCACAGTCACCCTCTTGCTGAGGGTGCTCTGGGGTCCTGGTGCCGGGCACTTTCCTTGGCAAGTATAGAGTGCAGAGTCCAGTCTTTCCCAGAAAGCGGCGTGGTATTGAGAGGACCATGCCTGCCTCTCTCCTGCTTTGAGTTCTGTTTTGTGAGATCCTGGGGTAGAGCCCAAGGCTGTGCTTGCTCAGCCAGCATTCCGAGCTGCAGCCTAGGCCCTGCCAAGAGTCTCCATCTGCAGAGGCTGCAGCCCCGCCCACCCTGGGGCGGCCCTGTCCCCGTCCTGACTCCTGGCCAAGGTGTGGCTCACCACCTGCCCCACAGAGCTGTAGCTAGCATGACCATGATGTGTCCTGCTCACTGTCTGACCCCTTCCTGGGTGGCCAGCCCTGCTCCCGGCTGCCCACCGCAGTGTCTGCTGAGCTGGGTCCGCCTGGGGGCAGCGGTAGCGGCCCAGGAGAGGGTCAGGTGTGGTTCCGTCAGGCAGCAAGGCAGGAGAGCTGGGAGCTGGCACCTGGCACTTCCGCCATGGCTGGTCTACCAATTCCAGGAGGGGAAACAGTCCCTGCTCCCAGGACAGCTGCAGAGCCCAGGGCCCAGGGAAGGACCCACAGGTCAAGGCTCCAGAGTGAAGTCAGATGCTGTGTGTTGTAGTTGACCCAAAGACCATGGAGACTGCAGAGAAACTGGCCAGGTTCGTCGCCCAGGTGGGACCAGAGATCGAGCAGTTCAGCATAGAGAACAGCGCGGACAACCCGGACCTGTGGTGCGTACCCCACTCATGTGCTGTGAGCGCACAGGGCCCCCACGGCCTGCACCGTGGGCAGGAGGGGAGCTCCCCGGAGGACGCCGGGTCTTCGTCTGGGGACAGCAGGGTGAGGACGTGCAGTCTGAGAGGTGGCATCCACTCGGGGACAGTGTGTGCTCTCCAGGCCTCAGGTGGGTCAGCCCGGTGCCACCTAGCCTGGTGCTGGCAGGCACAGGCTGGCACTCGGGGAGCTTTCCTTTGGGAGCTCCTGGGTCTCCACCGAACAACTGTCTGGGTCCCTTCCTGGGGCAGTGCAGAGGGCAGGGCCCTGTGTCCCCACCCTGGACATGACCTTGCTGGGGATCTGGGCCCTGCTGCTTCCAGCTCGCTGGGGACCTGCGGTGTGGCACAGCGGTCCCTTTACATGGGGAACATGTGCGTCTGACACGTTCTAGTGCTTTGAGAGCCTCCCTCTCAGGGCTGTGGTTGTGACCAGTTTGTCGTCATGACAAGTTCGTTTGTGTCTGCTTAGATTGAATTTAAGGTTTTCTTCACTTTTTAAGTATAGCGCTCATGTTGTTGTAGTAAAAAATCACAAAACGGGAGCCAGGGATTTAGCTCAGTGGTTTCGCCACCTGCTGTGCAAGCTCAAGGACCCAAGGTCGATCCCCAGTACCAAAAAAAAAAATCACAAAAGGTTTTCAGCACTCAGGAGGCTGAGACAGGAGGATGGCCATGAGTTCAAGGCCAGCCTGGGCTACCTAGCGAGACCCTGTCAGAAAACACACACAGACATCACAAAAGCCTTGCAAACTCCAGCTAGCGCCGTCCTCACGCACGCCTCCTCTCGTCATGCTGGTGCCTCACGTGTGCACGTTTTTCCCTCTTCCTGCTCCCTTTTTTTTCTCTTCCGGTACTGAGAGGGAACCCAGGGCCTACATTCTCAGCGCTTTCTTATTTTTTGTTCTGAAACGAGGTGTGTCCAAGCTCCCCAGGCTGGCCTTGGCCTTGGCGCCCTCCTGCCCCAGCCTCCTGGGTGGCTGGGTTTCCCAGCCGGCTCCGTAGTCTGGAGGCAAGGGCTCCCCACCGGCCGCGCCCGCACCACGTTTCTTCATCTTCGCCTCCTCGCTGGGGTTTTGGACTCTTGCTTCCTCGAGCTCTAGGACCCCTCCCTCACCTCTGATGTGGACGCACGCATTCCCACCACTCTGACTCGTGTTTGCCTTGGTGGTATGTTTCCGAGACAGAAGTGTTTTATGTAGTCACAGTTTTTCAGTGTGTTCTTTCACTGCAGCTGGATGTTGTGTCGTACTTTTCTCCAAACCCACACAAGGAGATTTACGGCCGGGTGTGGTGGCGCAGGCCTGTAGTGCCAGTGCTCTGGATAGCTGAGACAGGAAGATCGCAAATCCAAGCCCAGCCTGAGCGGTTTAATGACCCACAGCAAAGATGAAAGGGCTGGGCCATAGCCTGGTGGCACAGTGCTGCATGCTCGCCCTGCCCAGCCCGTGCGTTTGCGTGGGCCTCTGGTGCTTCCGTTCAGGTCTCCTGTCCGTGCAGGGGCGTTTGGGTGCAGAGCGCGGCGCAGCTGTAGCGTGGATGTTTCTCTGGACACCCATGCGGCTGCCCTGCGCGTGGCAGTGCGAGACTGCCTTCCCTCGGGCTTGCGGTGCGCGCACAGCCTGGCTCTCTCTGCAGCTGTGGGGCGCGGTCTCGCTCGGACTCGTGCAGAGCCCCTGACACTTCCCGAGCGTCACAGCCATCCCAGGCTGAGCGCAGGAAAGCGTCTTTATGGGACACGCTTGTCCGGTGTTGAGGGAGCTGGAACCTCCACGGGTCGAGGGCTCTTCGCCTGGACCAGGCTGTCGTGCCCCAGGGGTATCAAGCAGAAGTTAGGACAGAGGTAGCCACGGGCCCCGGGCACGGGGAGCCTCCGCCACGCGCCCTCGGCCACTCCGTGGGATGTGGCATTGCGTGAGCTGGGCCAGCTCAGCGTCCTGGCCAGCCCGGTCTCCCCACTCGTCCCTTGGGCCCTTTGCCTCCACCCGCCGTAAGCAGCCCGCTGTCCTCGCAGGGCCTGCCAGCATCAGGCCTGTCTGGGTTGCGCTGTGACCCGTGTGTCTCCATGTCCCAGGTTTCTCCATGACCAGAACAGCTCCGCGTTCAAATTCTACCGGAAGAAAGTGCTGGAACTGTGTCCCTCCATCCAGTTCACATCATCGCCTCTGACCCTGCCCGCGGGGGGTGGTAGCCAGAGTGGGGACTCTGAGGAGAGCCCCACAGGCACCGTAGAAGGGGAAGGGGAACCGGAGGACCAGGGCCCTGTGCAGGAAGTGGAGCTGGAGAGCCCTGAGGTGATCCAGGAGGAGGAGGAGGAGGAGGAGGGCGACGAGGCAGACGAGGAGGACACAGAGGGGGCTGCTGCCCGTGGGACTCCCAGGCCAGGCGTGGGCGCCACCGAGGCGGGGGCTGCTGAGGGCCGCCCTCCCGCTGATGGCCTCCCCGGTGAGGCTGCTGAGGACGACACGGCCACAGCTCCTGGCCTGTCGCAGACCGCCACGGGCACCTGCTTCCCCCGGAAGAGGATGAGCAGCAAGTCCCTGAGAGTCGGCATGATACCGGCCCCCAAGCGGGTGTGCCTCATCCAGGAGCCCCAAGGTGGGTGCAGGCTCCTACTGGGGCCCCTGGGGGAGTCCCGGGCCAGGGCCGGGGACCTGCGTGTGGGGTCTGGGGTGTCCGTGTAGCTCAGGGGCTTTGCGCAGTCCAGTGGCAGGAGGCTGTGCCCAGGCTGATGTGTCCTCCCTGGCTGGCGCACCTCTGTGGGCACCCGGCCCCTCGGGCTTTTCCTGCCCTGCTCTGGGGAGCAGCTGCCTTCCCCACCCCACCAGACCTGGGGCGCCATCCTGCTCCAGCCCTGCTGCTGGCCGTAGGCAGCTGCACACACCTGCCAGGGGGCTGTGGGTGACTGGCCCCTTCCCAGGCAGCGGTAACCATGGCTCCTCTGCGTGGCCCCTGCCTCCTTCCTGCCCACTGCTCCTCGGGGTACCTGGGGTCAGGTGCTTCCTGCTTGGGATGCCGTCAGTTCTTCTGCTGTGTGAAGAGATCAGGGCATCTTCACAAACAGCAGCAGCAACGATGGTTCGACTCCGTGCCACAGGGTTCTCGGCCGGCAGCAGGGATCTCTGGTCACCTGGATGGGCAGTGTCTCCTGGCGTTGGTGGTTGAAGCCCCGCACACATGGGGTGGGGCTCTGGGACAGGCCCTCTGCGCCACTCCCTCTGAGAAGATAGGAGGGAGCGGAGGATGTGTGGGTGTGTCTCTGTCTTGCAGTCCATGAGCCGGTCCGGATCGCCTACGACAGGCCTCGGGGACGCCCCCTGTCCAAAAAGAAGGTGAGTGCGGCCAGCCGCAGGGCCTCACTCGACGCGCGCTCAGAGCTGGGCTTTGAAAGGCACTGCCGTCCGCCCGTGCTTACGCTGTAGTCACATCCCAAGCTGCAGTGCCCCCAGCTGCTCAGAAGGCTGAGGCAGGAGGGCTGCTCGAGAGCCTGGGCAACATGTCCAGTCCCTGGTAAAACCCACAGTTCTGTCCCCAGCTCAGATGCTCATGGACAAGAAGAAACAGAGAAAGGCTTCTCCTGGGACTTCTTTTTTGGTACCAGGGACAGTTTTCCCCTGTGCTGCTGGGAATGGAGCTCCGGGCCTCATGTATGCTCGGCAGGCGCTCGCCACTGAGCCCCACCTCATGTCCTTTTTCTTTCTTTTTTTTTTTTTCTTTTTCTTCTTATTTAAAAAAAAGCTTTTTTTTTTTTGGTACCGGGGATCGAACTCGGGACCTTGCACTTGGGAGGCAGGCGCCAGAACCACTGAGCTAGATCCCCAGCCCCTAAAATTTTTTTTTTTGAGACAGGGTTTTACTACATTGCCCACCCTGGCCTCAAACCTCTGATCGTCCTGCCTCAGCCTCCCCAGTAGTTGGGATCACAAGTGTGCTTCAGTTGCCCCTCTAAGGGGGCTTTTTAAATCCACTCTGAGCCTAGGAGGGTAACCGGGTAAGCCCGCAGGTGGGGGCTCTGAGAGGTCAAGAGTGCTGAGGAGGGCAAGGGGGGTGTGGGCCAAGCTCAGGACCTGGGAAGCAGCAGCCACAGACTCTCGCAACCTGGTAAAGCAAAGCAACTGGGAGGGGGAAGAGGGCAGGCCGGGGGCCCGGGCAGGGACATGGCCACGGGCCTGCAGAGAGGTGTGGAGGGCACAGCTGGGCAGAAGCCCAGGCCCAGGTCGGCAGGAGGACAGCACGCTGCCGGGCAGGCATGGAGTGACAGGGTGGGGAGCGGTCACATGAGGCGCAGCACAGGCCAGCACCGTGGTCCCATCCCCGTTTGGGGGTTGTTTTCAGACAGGTTCTCACTCTGTAGCTCTACCTACCCTTGAACTCACCGTGTAGCCAGGCTGGCCTGGAACTGGTGACAATTCTCCTGTCTCAGCCTCCCCAGTGCTGGGGTTACTGGCATGCACCACCATGCCTGGCTTTGGCTGTGGCTGTTCTCTGTGAGGCAGGCCCCAGGGCCTCCCCGTGGCCCTGCTGCTGGGAAGCTGACACGCCGGGCCTTGTCTCTCCCCAGAAACCCCAGGACCTGGACTTCGCCCAGCAGAAGCTGACGGACAAGAACGTGGGCTTCCAGATGCTGCAGAAGATGGGCTGGAAGGAGGGCCGCGGCCTGGGCTCCTGTGGCAGAGGCATCCGGGAGCCTGTCAGCCTGTATGTGGCGGGGGGCACTCCCATGTGACACGGCCGCTCATGGGCCTCAGGACCAAGTGGTGCTCTGGGGTTGTTCCAGAGGCCAGGGTTGGGGACCTGAGACCCCATGGGTGAGCCCAGTGGGCGTTTCGGTGCTGCTGGGCAGTACTGGCAGAGCCAGGCTCCTGCCGGGACCTGGGCTCCGTGGGGGTGGGGGTGAGGGTGCCCGCCTTCCTGTAACAGGGGCTTGGCTTTCCCTTCTTGCCATGACCCCACTTCTCTGCAGGGGAGCTGCCTCGGAGGGGGAGGGCCTGGGTGCTGAAGGCCCCGAGCAGAAGGAGGACACATTCGATGTCTTCCGCCAGCGGATGATGCAGATGTACAGACACAAGCGGGCCAACAAATAGGTACGTGCGGACCGCACCTGGGAGCCACAGTATCTGCCGCTGCCCTGGTGGGTCTCGCTCCCCCAAAACATCAGATGCCATCACAGAATATTGAAGTCAGGCACGGGGGCACACGCCTGTAATCCCAGCACTTGGGAGGGCGAGGCAGGAGGATCACAAGTTCAAGGCCAGCTCGGGTTACATAGCAAGACCCTGTCTTGAAACAAAGAAGTAGATCAATAAAATCGCCTCATTGTGCGAGGGAAACAACAGTGTGCACACAGCCGTGTCCGCTCCTGGCCTTCCCGCGCTTTCGGTCTTGCCCAGCCCACACTGAGTGGCCTCCGTTGCAGGCAGAGCATTACAGCCCGCCCACTGGCTGCTCCTTGCCACCTCACACCGGAGCAGGCCGCTGCTGGCCGCTCTCTGGTGACGGCCAGCTGCCACATCACGCAGCCTGGGTGCAGACTGCCCCGTCAGAAGAGGGCCGCATGTAGCAGCCACCCCCATCCTTCCTGGGGCCCTGTCCCCTTGCTTTTACCGGCTATGGACCTGGGAACCTCCTCAGACCCCTCGGGCCTTCTCGGGTGACCTCCGAAGTCCATTTGAGTGCAGCGCGCTCTTCTGATGGAGCCAGTTGCCCGCACACACCCGCCACCCTGGGCTGTCCAGCACCGCGGTGTGGATGCGGCTGCACAGGCTGGGTGCTGGGCAGCCGGCTGGGCCTGCCCTCCCCTGGGTCTGTCTCCATTCCTCCTCTGAAGGTGGCACGACCACCAGACAGTGCTCCTGGGAGTTTGGCATGGTCACAGGTCGCCTCCTTGCCCTTCTGCACCACTGCCCAAGCTGTGAGCCCAGGTCTCCCCAGGCCACCACCGCTGCTGCCTTTTGTGAACGTATGAGTAATGTGTCTTGCCTAAAACGTGCCAAGAGACTGGGCGGGCGTTCAGCAGCAGCAGCAGCACCACCTCACCGGCCTCGTCCGGGAGTCGTTACGCTGGAGACTTGCCCACACCTGACTAGACACTGCCAAGAAGAGACAGTGGGTCCTCTTTCACACAGCTCGGCTCCCTGCAGAAGGCTGGGGCATCCACTCCCTGCCTACAGCAGCTGCGGGGGTTGTTTTAAAGCCAGGTGTGCTGGTGCACACCTGTCAGCACAGTGTTCTGGAGGCTGAGGCAGGAGGATCACCGTGAGTTCAAGGCCAGCCTGGACTACATAGTGAGACCCAGCTCCAAAAAGAAAAAGTCCTATTGTACGGAGTAGGAAGGCAGCTCAGGGTGGCCCAAAGCCACAACTGGTTGCCATTCTGAACCTGCAGGGGCCTCACTGTCCAGTCCCTGCTGCATGTGACTGCAGGCAGAGCTCTTAGGCTGACCCGGCCCACCCTTGTAAGCAGTGGCATTGGAGTTTTCAGTTCATCCTCAAACCTGGGAAACTTGCATCCCACTGGCACCCCAGGGTGGGGACCTCAGTGGCGAGGGTGTCACATGGATCTGCATGAGAAGGGCCACTTCCCCAGGCTGGGGCCGCGCTCCCTCAAGGCTACAGCCCGCCCATGGGCCTCCTGAAGGTGCAGCGCCAGGCCCCACTGGCTTCCGGTCACCCTGTTGCTGCGTCTGTCCAGCCCCAAGGAGCTGGCCTGCAGGGCGGGGCTGGCACAGGGCTCTGCACTGTCTGCTGTCCGCCCTAACTCCAGCAGCCTCGGTGGGGTGTGGTGTGCACTCGGCTGTATGTGCACCCTGCACGCCCACCCTGGGGGCCGAGGCAGGAGGGTCTGCAGTCCCAGCCCGGCCTGGGCAGCTCAGTGCAGAGGCCCCTCAGGGGCCCAGGCTGCCACACTGTGGTGGGCGCCAGGGGCCGGGTCGGCAGGGAGGGAGTGAGCACTGTGCACACACATGGCCTGCTCCAGTCAGTATCGTTTCTGTCCTGGCTACAGGGTCCCCGAGAGGACGACGGGCATCTGACAGCGCCGAGCTGCCACCCCGGGTATGACCGTCCCCGGCTTGTTTCCGTCCCTGGGATCCCATAGGCAGTGTTAGTGATCTGGTCCTCTGTCTAACCTAGAAGACGTTCGTGATGTTACCAAAACGAAGTTTTGTTTCCTAAGACTAAGAAGTTGTGAATGTTGTCAATCATTAGTGGTTGCAATAAATGTAGAGAAGACCTGGCTCACTGTGGTCCCTGCTGCACCGCCAGCTCCCGGCACCTCCTGGGGGTCCCCTGCCAGCAGGGGAGCTGGGGCCAGGAGCCGCTGAGGGCCTCACTGCACCAAGCCCCATGCCCCTTGTCTCCATGCAACTCTGCCAGTCACCACTGGGGAGAGGGCGCAGCAGGGACAAGGACGGGGCTGGTGCTATGCCCAGGACGGGTGCTGGCATGAGGAGGGTCGCAGACCTGCAGGGCTGGAGAGCCCTAGTCTGCGGAGGGAGCCGTGTCCTCAACACTTCCCCCCAAGCCGAATTGGGCCCGGAGGTGGAGCAGGGACAGGGTCCTCCTGCCCAGGGCTGGGGAAGGTGACAGACTCAGTTTCCCTGAAGGTGGGAGGGCCCCCCCTGAAGGGACCCTTCCTGCTGAGAGGAGGCCTGGCCAGGACTGGGGAGCAGCCTGTGAAAGATGAGCAACCACCCACACAGGCCACACCCAGTGGTGCGCACCTGTGGCCTCAGCACTCAGGAGGCTGAGGCAGGATTGAACTGTGGGCTGGGCTGTAACGAGCTTTCTGGGCTCAGCCAGGCCTTGGCACTGCAGTGAGTAAGTGAGTGGATGGACAGACGGATGGATGGGACAGAGTGCAGCACAGGCTCCCTCCTTCCCCAGAGAGGGAACCCAAGGACACATGCAGGCCTGAAGCATGAGGCGAGGCTGGCCTGGTGCTGGGTTTTACTTTTTGTTTTGTAAGTTACCACCTGGCTGAAATCTGAGGCGTCATGGGGTGTTCTGGGGACAAGTGAAAGTCCCCTCCAAGGGCGTTGGACACGGTGATGGCTAACAGCCGTGTTTCGTACAGGACCCTGAACACACAAATGGTACTTCTTGCCTTGTACTCGGTCACCTCTTCACTTAAAATTTTTCTGAGAAAAAAATATTTTGGGGCCTGGGGTGTGGCTTAGTGGGTTCCATCCCCAGCACTGAGAAGTGGGAGGGAGGTGGCGCACACCTGTAACCCCAGCACTTGGAAGGCTGAGGCAGGGGGATTGCCACAAGGTTGAGGCCAGCCTGGGCCACACAGCGAGACCCTGTATGAACAACCACAAAAAAGGAAGGCACAGTCCCAGATTCAATCCCCAGTACCAAAAAAAAACAACCACTGGGGATTTGGCTCAGTGGCTCTGCCACCTGCCTCGAGAGTGCAGGGTCCTGAGTTCGATCCCCAGTACCAAAAAAAACCACAGAGTGGCCCTGCACAGTGACTAGTCCTGGCCACGGCAGCCCTCTGGACCCCACAACCTCACATTCCATGGAAGCCAGCCCATTCCCCAGTGGGGAAACTGAGGCTGCACAGTCTATCTCAGCTCACGCTCTGGGCCTAGGACCCCTGGCCGGCTGCATCTGGTTCAATCTCTCCTGGTGCAGAGCTGGGCACCGAACCATGGGCCTCTTGCACGCCGGGCCAGCGCTCACCACTGAGCTGCACCCTGGCCCCTTGGGCCTTTGCGGCGCGCCACATGCACATCCTCGACCCCATGTGTGCGCCCACCGGCGTGCACACGTGCACCACATCCATGAATGAGCAGGCCGCTGGTTCCCTGCTCCTGGCCCTGAGAACCTTGAATTGCAGGTGTCCTGTGACTCCTGAAGACGCCACAAGAGGGACCCCACGAGCTGACCGTGTTTGTCAGTGGCCCTCTAAAGATGGTTTTGTTTTTTGTTTTGTAGCACTGGGGCTGGAACCCTGGGGCTTGTGCATGCTATGTAAGTGCTCTACCCTTGAGCTATATCCCAAGCCATTTATTTGAATGTATTTATGTTTGTGGTACTGGGGATTGAACCCCAGGGCACTCTACCACTTAGCTACATTCCCTGCAGTTGTCTCATTTTTTTATTTTGAGACAGGCTCTAAGTTGCCCAGGCTGGACACAAACTGGCCATCCTATTCCTTCAGCCTCCTGAGTAGCTGGGACTACAGGTGTCCACTACCACCACTCCCATCAACACCGGGGCACTGGCTTGATTTTACTTATTTATTTTTTGGTTTTTTGAGACAGTGTCTTGCTATGTAGTGTGGGCTGGCCTTGAACTCACTACGTAAGCCATGCTGGCCTTGAATTCATGGGGATCCTCATGCCTCTGCCTCCTGAGTGCTGGGATTACAGTCACATGGTACCACACCTGGCCCCACTTGCTTGATCTTAGAGAAAGCCTATGTCTTGGGAGACAGGCATGACCATGCAAGGTGTGACTGCCCACAGATGTATGCTGAGCAATGTATGCTGAATGCTGGGTGGAGCAAATGGGAGGAAGGACTAACAGAAAGGCCTTTAGCCTGGCATGGCCATGGGCAACTGCTGTCCCAGCTACTCAGGAGGCTGAGGCAGGAAATCACTGGAATCCAGGAGTTCAAGACCAGCACGGGCAACATCGAAAGACCCTGTCTCAAGACAGAACAAAACCTTCTAGCTGTAAAATACAACTAAAATTTTAAGGAATGTGTTAGATCCTGAAAGATGAAATTCAGTTGCAAAGCACTGTGTGGTTTTTCTACATATTTGGTGGCTGGCTGGGGATGCAGCTCTGTGGGAGTGCATGGATCGGAAGTTCAAGGCCAGTCTGGGCGACTTAGCAAGACCCTGTCTCCAAGTCAGTTTTAAAAAGAGCTGGGGCAGGTGGGGTGGGGATTTAGCTCAGTGGTACCGCCGCCTGAGCACAAGGTCCCGAGTTTGATCCTCAGTACCAAAAAAATAAAGAGCTAGGGGTACCACTCAGTGGTGAGCACTCGCTGAGCACGTGGGGCCCTGTCCCCTCGCCAGCCATGCACGTCTGTACACATCTTGGGACCAGTGGTGTCAGGCCCGGGCTCTCTGTCCCTGCTGCCGCCCGCCGCGGGCCTCGCTGGAGCCAGGCCAGGCCTGTGCTCCCTGCCAGGAAAACACTTTCTGCCAAGAAGACTGGGAAGGAAGCGGCCGCAATCATCACCCTTTGTTCCCAGGCAGCTGTGTTCTGCGGAGAAGAAAGATTTGGAGTGAACCAGCCGCTTCCTGTGGAAGAAGCTCTGCTCCATTCAGGCCGCTGTCCCAGCTGCCACCAGCGTCCCCGACATCTCCTGGTCACCTCCACCATGGGTGCTTTTTCCCAGTACAACTTACCGCCCGATAGCCAAAGCCACCATGATGCATGCAATCCCAGCTCGGGAGGCTGAGGCAGGAGGATCACAAGTTGGAACCCAGCCTGGGCAATTTAGTGAGACCGTCTCAAAACTAAAAGTAGGGGTCCAGAAGTGAGGGAGTGGATGCAGCAGGCTCCACACCCCTGGGCCCCTCCCCGAGTGACATCTGGCACCTCAGCTTCCTGTGCTGCTGGAGTGCCCAGTACCTGAATGCCCACCCGAGAGCCGGAGACGCTGGAATCTGTGCCCCCCGTGGCAACCCCTAGCCGTGTGCTGGGCAGCTGCCTGGGGTCTTCGCCGCATGGGTGCATCCACGCATGCGCACTCCTGTCTCTTAGAGGCTGCGGTACCACCACTACTGCAGCACTCTCAGGACGCCTTGAGGCCTGCGGGCGCAGACAACGGCACGAGCTCCACACAGCCCTGCCCCAGCCTCTCACAGTACCCTGTGCCCTGTCGCCTAGCTGGCCCCGCCCTCCTTCCCTCTGGCCTTTGGCACTCTTGACAGCTGCCTCAAGGGCAAGGACGGCCGCCTCAACTCCTGAGAAACCTCCCCAAACCCACGTGACCAAGGCCGGCCAGGCACCCAAGGTGAGGCAGTCCTTAAAGAGCACTGGACACATTATACCATCCATCAGGGTCCCTTGACCTTAGAGACCCACAACCCATTTTACAGATGAGGAAACTGAGGCCAGAGTACTGGGTTAACAGGCCACACATTAGGCCTTGTATCCTGAGAGCTCTGCAGCTGCCTAACGCCAAAGGCCAGTTGGCTATTGACTTGAAATGATGGCTTGAAACACCTTTCAACCAACAGAGCTCTGTTGTCCAATGGCTGTAAACAGAAGCACTAGCTGATTGGCCCAGTCTAGTGTAGATGCTCAACTCTGAACCAATCACAGGGGCCCAAAGGCCGCAATGATGGGCAAGCTTGGGTGGGTGGAGCCACGATCAGAAGCTGAGTTTGTCCCTTTAGCCACCTCCTGTTCCCGGACACATCAGGCAGTGTCATCCATCCCGGGGGGCCTCAGAGCCCTCGTGTGTAAAGTGGGTTATAGGGAGCAGTCAGGGGTGGCACTGGGTGCAGAATCGGATGCCTGCTGGCTTCGCCCATCTCCAGCACGGCCCCATCTGCCCTAGTTTCTTGTTTCCCGTTCAGGGCCATAGTCGGTTTATTTTCAGATGAGAACATCCTTCTGTCCTCTGTGGCCACTGGCCAGAGCCTGGGCACACCACGCCAGGAGGAGGGAGGCCTGGGCCCAACCACCTGGCATTCTGGGCCCTTGGGGAAGGTTCTGAGGTTTCCTTCCCCTTGTTCCTTTTTCTGTACTGAGGATTGAACCCAGGGTCTTTACACTGAGCTCCATGCCCTTCTGAGACAGGGTCTTGCTATGTAGCCCAGGCTGGCCTCGAACTCATGGCGATCCTCCTGGGATGATAGGTGTGCACCCCCCCCCCCGTGACCTCTGACCTGCTTAAACCCGCCTGAAGCCCTCAATTCCCAGCTCTCCACCCTGAATGAAGGAGGATGTTACCTGCTGCTTCCAGCCCCATCTCCGAAGCCGGAGCCTCAGGTGGAAGTTGGCCAGTGTGAGCCAGCATGTTTCAGACTGGCTGGAAGTGTCTAAATACAAACACTGTGCATTCATGGAAGATGAGGATGCGCTCATTTCATTTTAATTCTGAAAAGTAGCTTTATTTTGTCCTGTTGATTAGATGGCACAAACTTGCTTCTTGGTCAGCCCCACCCCCTACCTCAACTTGGCAAACTTCTGTTCATCCTTCAACATCTGACACTTTACTCTCTACTCCGTCTTCTTTTTTTTTTTGGAGAGGGGATGGCACT